AAAGTATCCAGCCTGTCCTAACCTCAGAGCTTACCCTGCTTTGAGGAGGAGTTTGAATCTGAGGCCTTCTGAGATCCCTTCCAATTTGAATTATCCTGTGGTGCTGTGAAATCAGGGTCAGAGCTAAAGGAGGAACACTAAGGGCTTTCTGTTCAAAACACAGAGACTTGAGAGGTTTTTTTGTTTGGAGTGTTTCTTAGTGCCTTGGTTCTTCTGTCCTTCCCACAATCTTCACTGTGTGCAGTCTAGCCTTAACATCAAGAGCTCTGATCCTGGGGGAGAGAGAGGAGGGGTGAAGGAGAAAATCTGTGGCATTTATTTGATGTGGAAGTGCTTACATCCTATGACAACAGACAGGAGGTGAGAATCAGTGTGACTAATGAGTTGTTTACTTGGCTTTTGTATCCCCTGCCCCCCCAGGTACATGGGCTGTGCTTGTTTTTATATGTATTGATTTCAGATTCCTGCAAATACCATTCCTTTGTCCTTCACCTTGTCAGCAGTTTGTGAGATACTACTAATCCTGTCTCTTAATGCTGTGGAAAAGGTAGGGTAGTCAGGATGCAGAATGCTACTTGTTTTTTCTTTCTTTTCCTGTACAACAGTAACATGTTTTCAGCCAGAAGCTGTCGTTTCTCAGAGTTTGGACCCAGACCCTGTTTGAAAATCTGAGGTCCCCTTCTAAACTCCCTTGAGAACTGATCCCACATACGACAGGCCTGCCATCTGCCATTGTTTTTATATTGAGGTGATCTAAAAAAGATGGAAAGAGTAGAGTGCCTCTTAAACAGCTCCTGATGTTTGTCCTCATGGTACCAGACCTAAACCCAAGGAAAATGGAGAAAAAAATTGAATTTTAGTGTTGAATTTGACAGTGTCTGTGTGAATGAGACAATTTGTGATTAGATCCAGAATTTGTTAGAAACAGCCTCTAACTCCTTTTCCAAAAATTGGTGAGGAAGACTGCTGGGAATGCCTGGGGTTTCTTTATTCAATGAAATGGTCTTGACTGAGATTAAAAGGAGTAAAAGCTGTACTTTAGGAGTATTTAATGCTGAGGTGTGGCACAGGCTACAAGTGCTGTCACAACATACCTAACATTTGGTCACCAGCCTCAAGCATACCCTTTTTTTCCTTGGGTGTTTGACCAGCGCAACTTTGAAAGAGTGGATTTCTCTGGCCTGCTGTTCACTTTTACCTAGGGTATCCATGATGCAGCTGTGGATCTGGCCTGTTCTTAAGGAAAGACTTACCTGGAATATTTAGGAGAAATATTTTTTATGTAAGTGAAAAACAGGTGAAGGGGGTTTCAGTTCGTGCATACATTCTGGGGGCCGTGGTACAGAGAGATGCTGACAGAGTGGGAGGGAGCAGAAGGCTGTGCCAAGAGTGGACTGTGCAAGGATCTGAGCTACAGCTCAGTTTTGGTAAAGCTTTGGAAATAGTCAGGGAGTATCTTCTGCATTTATCTAACTGTGAAAGAAAAACAGTGCAGATGAGTGGATGGCTATGGCCAGGTACAGTGCTTTGGTTTGTCCTCTCTGGGAGGGTGTGAGAGCGCGGCAGCAGGCAGAGCCCAGCCCGGGCAGCAAGGGTGTGGGCAGGGGCTGTGTCCAGCTTTCACGCGGTGCTGGTGATGTGGGTGCTGGTCTGGTGGGCGCGCTGTTGAGCCAAACACAGCCTGCCAGAGAGAGCGTCTGCTGGTAGCTTGGAGGAGAGCAGAAAAAAGGGTAAGAAAAGGCTGAATTTAAACAAAGGGGTAACACAGAACTGATTTTATGGCTGATTTTGACAGGTGAATTACAATCACATTGACAGAAACTCATAAAAGGCCAATGGTCTGTATTTGTCTGACTCTTGATTCATAGTGATTCTGATGTTTGCCTCAGTGCAGCAGAGAATGGGCCTGGAGAGGGACTGGGGAGTTCCCATGGGTGCCCCAGCTGCCAGGGGATTGTGGGAGAACTTCTTGGGTGTCACTTTCTAATAGCAGCCCCTTTGCCTTGCTGTCTGTACAAATAATCAGTTTGTTTTCCTTTTTTATTTTCATTAAGCATCCTCAGCTCTCAGAGTTCTTTAGCAGACATCAGCTGATGTTTTCAAGTCTTGTTTCAGAAGTTTCCTCCTTGTTTTGGGAGAGCATTTCAAGAGAAAGGTTTCTCCCACCTTTCTCCTGCCTGGTGACAAGGGCAGCTCAGTTTCCCCATGCTACACCAGAGAGCTCAGGGGAGGCTTCTTGGCTGCTGTTACTGTTCTACATTACAACAACTAAGGCTGACTGGCAGCTCAGTCCACTTTTCTCAGTTTCCCTTCACCTGAAACTGTTGTTACCATTCTTAGCACTTCTTCCACACTTCACATGCACTACCTTTGGGGCACATCACGCTGCTGCCTGCGATACCAGCTGGTCTGCTGGCTCAGCTGCTTCCAGCATGGCACTGGGCAGAGAGACAGCAGCCACCCTCCCCGATGGCAGCCTGAGTGTGTTGGCCTTGGGGACGCATTGTGCTTTTATTAGGCAGAGTCTGTGTTGAGTGCCACCTGAAGTGCATCCAAAACCAGCCCCTTCCCTCCTCAGTTGGATTAAGCGCAACCTTTCCAGCCCGAAGCCACTCAATGCCCCAGCAGCAGCTGTGCTCCTACCTCCTGGGTGCTCTCCTGCTGTTCAGGTTTCCCAGATGCAACATATTTAGGAAAAAAAAAATAAAAAAGAAGCTGAACTAGTGATAAATCATTTATTTTGATAGTGACAGGGTCTGATTTGTTTTTGCAGAATGCTGAGAGTTTTCACTGCTCAGCTCTGCTGCTTGTAGTTATAACAGTTAATGAGAAATGGTTTGGAAATAGCTACTGTTTTAATTGCTGAAGCAATTACTATTTAGTTTTGATGGTGGAAAATTATTGCATGTAAGGTGTTTCTTTTCTGCGTATTTTCAAATTTTTAATTAGGCTTCTCAAATTATGTACTTCATAAACTTTGGAAATAGATCTTTCAAATAAGTGTTTACTCCCTGGTATTCTTATGTACATAACTTGGGTAATGTGAATAGACTCACAGGACTTAAAAGAAATATTAATGTGGGTAAAATTACCCAAAAATGTAAGTGTTTAGAAGTAGAGGAACTTCTGCTAGTAGGGCTCTTTTTAATAAATAAACAACCCAAATGCATCCAATTTTCATAAAGGTAACAGACAGACATATTTTTGCTTTCTTCTGTGGGCTGGAAATTGCAGTAATTTTCTAATATAATCATCAAAAAGAAATAAATGCAGACATCATCTTCAAAAAATCAGGCCTGTTTGACTAAATAGGGAGTCAAGATTTTCTATGTTATGTATTGCAAGTAACTCACAATCAAGCAAGACTTACTCTGGATTTTCATTGAGACTGAAACTTAATTCAGAATAAAACAGTAAAAGAAAGACAAATGAAGACTAATTTTTGTAACATTCTGTGTCATCCCACTATGACTAAGCTCATTTACAAATACCTTGCTCCTGCCATTGGCTGTGCAGTCTTAGCAGCAAGAATAAGATGCATGTGGTTTATGCTGGGAGCTGCAGCCCCAAAGCCTGTTTGCTCCCCCCAGCTGTGAGAATATCAAAGAGGAGAAGATGCTGAAGGCAGAGGCTGCGATATGATGTGTTCCCACAAGCCCATTGCATAATTATCCCACACTGCTCCACACAGCCCATGCTAGGGAGCAGCCAGAGAGCCTAGGCTTTTCAGGGTGCCAGCAAGCTTGTTTTGCCTTGAACTTCTGCCTCAGCAAACAAGACTGATGAAAGTCTCATATATTTGGGGAATGCCAAATGTGGGCACGTGTCACTGTTAATTGCCACCAGCTAAGTGACATGGTGTGTAAAAACACAAATAGATCCTTCACAGCAGATTTCCATTGCACATACATGTGAGAAGTAGGGACCAGAGCAAGCATGAAATGTCTCTCCAGCTCTGCATGAGTGATCAAGGCTCAGAGAGCCCCAGTTCTTGGTTTGCGTGCTTCTGGCATTACCGTGCTGTACAAGGAGTTCAAATCTCCCTTTCTTTCTACAGAGTCCTTTTTTGAGAGGGAAGAATGAAAATTTAACCCTCCTGATGTAATAGAAGAGTCGGTCAGGCTAGGATTACAGTGAAAAGTATTGCAGCATATCCATTACAGATATTTTTCATTGCTATGCATGAGGATACACATTCTTTGTTACCTAGCCTGTTTTTATGGTAAAGTTGCTTTGAAGAAATACAGATGTAGAAAAGTCAGGTACTGAGATGCAGGTCCTGAGGGCCCAAAGTGCTACAAAGTGCTGACTAGGAATAAAACCCAACTGTAGTCATGTTGTTTTGGTTTATAAAGCTATATATGGATCATCATAGAAGTGTTCATTGTGGAATGCTGGAAAACAAGTGCCTGATTCTCTGCATTTGTGGGAGAAAATTGGAAAGATAACAAGATTGTTGTGAAATAATGTTTTAGTGTTTGGATGCAAGTGTTTCTCTCTGCATCACGCCAAAAAGATCAAGACAGAGTGGAGTAGGTAGTTTATGTCAATAAACACAAGTAAACTTGGTAGAAAAAGCTGAATGCAAATGCCAGCCATGTAGACTTCTAACTTTGGTCACTTAATTCTTTTGCATCCATAAAAGGAAGGCTTACGAATAAAATTCTGTGTAATGATGAAAACTGTATTAATGTTACAACTGTATTACTACTAGCAAAGATACTGATTATATGCTGTGTGCTTCCCTCCAGCTCAATTCTGACCTTGTTTATATCTTTCCATTATTGTGTGTCTGTTTAGTAAAGTATGGCTACACATTTATAATAATAATTATTATTAAGGTACCTCTCACCAGGCTGTAGTATAATTTGTACTAGAGTACTGTTTTCCTTTCCAGACAGATGCAGCAAACTATAAAATGGTGCTAATGAAAAAGTCAGAATTTGCCGTTTTTGATGGCAGGGACAGAAAATGCATTATCCTTCTCTTGTGTGTTACAGATCTTAGCACATCAGAGACCCACGGTTCCCAGAAAAGTGTTCCAAACCATGGATCCATCCAGTCACCACAGGTAGATGAACTGCTGCTGAACCACCAGCCTGAGAGCCTGCAGGATGCAGAGAGTGGAGCCAGAGTAGAGGAAAAGATTGTTTACCTCTGATAACTTGTTTTCTAATCTCAGTAGCACTTTGGAAAGACAACTGTATTTGCTTTTCTAAATTTCTGTAATTGTTCTCTGTATGACCATCTGGCTTTAAGGGTAGTATTTAATAGTAAATGCAAAATTTTCCCCGTGATAAATATAGCAAGTAAGTTATTTTGAAGGCATTGTTGTATAATCTTTAATTTATGACATGATTTCAAATGCTTTGCAAGAAGCAATGAGTAGCAGGGGAGACACCAAGGACTGTGAAAGCTAGTGTAGATTTTCTTGAGTCCTCTTCTTACAAGCATGAGCTAAGAGAGATGGGTCTGCTACTTGAGATTTCAGTGTATATCAGTAACAGCTGTGATATAACATGAGAAGACAGCAATGTAACAATGATGGCTCAAATCTATGCTGAAATGTGCTATATACCCTTAGCTGGTGGGTCATTTTCCTTATCTTCTAGCTCAGGAACTGCTCAGAAGGGGATGTTTTTTATGGTCTGAGCATAATTGCATAATTGTAAGTGTTTTCTCATGTCCTAGGGCTTATTACTATTTTGATACTACTGCCAATTTCTGTGCAGAGATGCACTAAATCAGTTATTGTGTTATAACTGTTCCTCATTTCAGTAAGTGTCCTTACACGTTAAAATTTACCAGATGAAACTATCTCACTGGTCAAAAGAAAAGAAAGGGGATAAATAGTAGGCTTCAGTTAACTAAACTCTTCTGAAACTCCACTGCTTTCCTATGTAGAAATCAGATAAAGTTCTGCTTTCAGATTCCTGGGATTCTCTATCTCTGTCTGTAGTCTGTACAGGCAATAAGAAACCTGTCTTGTGCCTTTTTGTGCCTTTTTGTCTTTCTGAAAAATTCATACACTTCTGTCAAACTAAATAAATGTTATGTGCATTTCTATGAAACTGTAATTTTGATTCATTTTGAGATCCTCCAGAGAAATAAAAAAAACTGGAGGAAAAAAACCCGTGTTCAGGCCTTGTTTGCACTGAGGTGTGCTGCAGATGTGTGTTGCTGGTCCAGCATGTATTTCAGCCGTGTATTTCAGCTGACAGGATGTGCCTATCACCACTCAGCATGGCTGATGGCATTGGCAGGGGTGCAGCAGAAATGCAGCTGCACAGCTCCTGGATGCTCCTGCACAGCTGCCTCACATCTGCCCACATCTGCCCAGCTCAAGGAGCTGAGGAACGCAGGATTGCTCCCACCCCTTTGACTGGATCAGCCCCAGGTGCCAGTGGTTTCCATTTTACCCTAAGCCTTGTGTTGTGCAATGTCTTTTCAGGGCACAGAGTCTTTCTTAGGTGTGCGCATTTGTCAGCAAGGGCGTTCGGACTGAGAAGGATTCTCTTCCAGGGACTTGGGTGCTTCAGGGAATACCCGAAAGCAGAGCTTTCTGAGCTGCATCTTACTGGCCTCCAGAGTAGTAGTTCAGTTGGTATTTTGGGCAAACAACCAAGCACCTGGTGTGATGAGCAGGATGTGATTCTCAGCTGTATTAAATGATCTGCAAATGCCATCAGGGAAAGACTGGGCCTGCAGATGTGGTTTCTGGTGTCTGTGTTCAGCTTTCAAAACTCCTGCTAACCTGACAGCACTTTAAAAACATGTCTCTTCATAAGAGAAAAAAAAACCAACAAAACCAAAAACCTCTTTTAAACCTCTTTTATAATATCTAGAACTGTTTTGTCTTCTTTACTTTTCACAATTAGATTAAAATTAAAATGTGGATCCAACTTCTCTTAAGGGCCCTGCAGTAGGGACAGAGAGTCAGCAATGAATTCAAGGTTGCCACCTCGACAGCTTCTTGGCAAATTTCTGAGTAGCCAGACTAATTTCTTGGGATGCTGTATACCCCAGGATATGTGCCTTGCCCAGAGACCCATGGGAAATTGAGAAAAAATGAGCAGTTTTCTCCACAGTTACTCTGTCTGCATTTTATTATGCCTTGGCTGTAACATCTGGTATTGGTTACTGTCAAATCCAAACTGCTGGATGGATTGCTGCTTTCCCAGTTTGGTGTGGGAATTCCCACATAAGCGTCTTGCCACCAAGAGAGGAAGAGATGATGCTGCTTCTCTCATCAGTTTTAACTGAGGCGCTGGGAGCTGAAAAGCGGCTGGCCCAGACTTCAGCTGTTGTGCAAATTCTTTAAGTCCCTTAAAATCAGGCAGCATCTTATTTTGCTCACCTGTGTTTACAATAAAACTTCTGGCATTTCAGAAAGGCAAAGGCAGGAAACAGGTGGCCTCTAGATTTAGGTATTTTAATTGTAGAAAATATTTTAAGTATAGGCCAGAATGGTCTTGGCAGGTGCTCTTTGTAACAAGATGTATTATGCACCCCTGAACTCTGTCCATTATTTAGGCATTTCTTAATACTTAGTAGAATTTAAACACAGCCCCAGTGAGACTCAGCTATTTTAGCAGTCTGTGTTTTCAGTTGCCATCAGGCATATATTAATGCTGGGTCATCTTTTTTAATTAGAAAAATATATTCAGAGATTCTCTTCACCTTTTTTATATTATTTTGAGGCTGGCTTACTTGCAAAGCCTGTTTTTTTTCACTCATCCCATATATGGTGTTTTCTTTTTGCTATGCTTCTCAAAGCATCTTGCCTCTGAAAACTCAGAATCTAATTTAATCATTAATTTCAGTACTTAAATTAAGGGAACAATTGCTGTACTACAAATATCCATGGTACCAGGATGAGGTTTGTTTGTCTTTTCTTATTTTATTTTTTTTCTCTATCTTCTAACAAAGAATGGATTTCTTTGCTGTAATGCCCTGACTTTTCCAGCATTTTCTCCTTAACGCTAGTGAAGTTGTCATATCAAGCAACTTTAAAAGACTTTTAAGAGAAACTTACAACAAATCTTTTCTTCAGCAAGTTTACAGTAATGGTAGAGAATAAATTAATGAAGAGCTTGAGCTTACAGTGTTTTGGATCCAGACCCTTGGAGTTGTGCATTCAGTCATTCGTAGAATGAGACCAAAAGGAAGGAAATTCTTCCCTTGGATGCTGTTTGAGTGTTAAGGTAAACAACACACTTAGCTGCATTTCTAAAAGATTTTTCACAAAGGTCATACATGTTATTTGCAAATTACTAAATTAAATACAGATTAGGCTATCAGCAAAACTCCCCAAAGTTTGTTTACTGAAATGGTTGAAAAAAACATCTTGGTGTTCCATGTAAGGAACACAAATAATTTTACTTAGAGAGTGCTGTTAGCCGCATTAATTTATATGCCACCCACTTAGTTCAAAAAAGTCAGTAAGATTTTTTGCTGCATCCTAATCAAGTAGGTGCCTATTTTGTAATGTGCCATATTGCTGCTAAAAACATTTTTGCAGTGTGATGGTGTTCATGCAAAGAAAAAGACATTGTGCTTTAGTAAATAACATGTGCAACTTGCTCAGGCTGAATTTTGAAAGCACTGGAGAGTTGCAGATGAGGCAGTTTTCCTTGTGCATTTGATGACAAAATGGGGAAATAGTGTGACTATTGATGACTAATGGGATAGGGTTTGGATAACTTCTAATGAATATTCTGTGACAAGAATTCCAACCCCAAATCCTTCCCATCCAAAACCTTCACTGTGGCCCATTTATATTAGAGAAGTAGAAACAGCACAGGTTGTGGAGCATTAGCATACTGTAACAGGCTGGATGTCTGCTTTTACAGAATTGTGGACCTGCAGTTGATTTCTTTCATTTTTCCAGGGCAAATGGATACATTTGTTGTTTTCTCTCAAATCCCTAGTAAAGATTTGTATGTAGAAGCATCTTGGGAAAGTATCTATGAGTGTTCTTGATAATCTTAGTCATAAGGGCAGCTACATGTTAACCTCCAAAAAGATTTTTTTGTGAATTGCAGCAAAATAGTGAGATAAGTCTGTGAGGATGGCCTGAATTCAATGGCTTGAATTTTGCATAAAGGCTCCCTTTGGCAGGCTGATGTCAAAGAGTGTTTCATTTCTTTAATATAAAGGAAAACCCTCAAAGGATAACCTTAGAGGCATTATTCTAAAGTGAGGCTGGCATTATTCTAAATGTTGGCATTGATCCAGCCCTTTGCTCTGAAAAAGTGCATCAGACACTAATCTACTAGACTTCTATGAGGAGCTCATCAAAGAGTACACAAGGAGCTCATCAAAGGCTTCCACATTGTGGAAGAACTTGAAAGGCCGTGAAATGATCCAGATATCTCACCTAGAAATGTCAATGTCTTTCCCTGACATGCAGAGCAGAGCTGGAAGCAGCTCTATGCAGGTCAGTAGTTGGCTCACAAATTCCGGGAGAGCTATGTTTCTTGTTCCATGGATCATCTCTGCCGAAGTTTCTTCCTCTTCTCCTCAGTCCATCTCAGGCCCAGATCAGAATGTTGCCACCTCTTATATGGAAAGGTTCTGCCAGAGGGAGGTCTGCAGCACACACCAAATTCTGAGCTTGAGTCTTAAAATATCCTGGGTGGACACGAGGAGAAGAGAAAAGAAACATGAAAAAGCTTCTCTGGATGTAGAAAAGGCAGGAAGAGTGCCCACGCTAATTAGATGTTTCTGAGCTCCTTCATGGAACAAGCTTTTTTATTCAGAGAAAAAACCCTCTATTTATCACGCTGCTATTGATTCCAGTGCCAGAGAGAGCAAGTACGGTATATGTACGAAAAGGACAGTGAAGAATGTAAGTTCAAATAAAGAATTTCTCCTGTGGAGGCTTAACAGACCCAAGGGAAATTTTTTATCAGATTTCTGTAAAACTGCCAAGCCCTACTACAGGAACTATGCAGAGACATGAACCTTCCACTCACCCAGGTTACCACTGCTAATAACAAGGACCAGCATGGGTAAATAATTGCATGAACTGAGGACAGCTTGTGAAGATCAATGTGAGCCCTGGCCTTCCCATGCAAATGAACAAACAGGATGTCTGAATTCCCTGTGTCTAGCCCATTGAAGATGCTCAGGCCAAGCTGTGAACCCATTTGTGCTCCTTTTGAGTAGTAGAGGAAATGTGAGAAATTGGTGTTGCTCCAGATTAAAGTAAGTAATGTCTCATCTGAAATGAAAACTGTCCCCATTTCCTACATGCACACAGTTGTACTAGCATTGTTGAACAAATGCTAAAACAAGCCATTACAGGTAAATTCCAGATACAAAGCAGCCAAGTGGACAAAAAGAACTTTATTAGCACTGACTGAGCATCTCCTACTTTCAGTCAGTGGAGACTAGCTATCCTTATCCTCTGGGGTTTCTTTCCAGCTTTTAATTAAGGAGCAAGTTTTCACAGTGTCATACTTGAATTGTCAGTGAAAAGAAAAACATTAAGATTGAAAGCTACAAGGATATTCCTCTGGATGACCCATAAGAGAAATGCTGGGTGCTGAGGGAAGGGCTCCAACTCTGGGGTTTGTACATGGATATCATCAGTTCAATGGTGCTAGCGGCTTGGTAATCCAGAAAACCAAATCTGGCTGTGGGACCAAGACATTTGGTGTCACTGAAGCTGATGCCTGGAAGCATGGCTGCATGTTCAATCCTGCTTTGCCACACAGCAGAGTGATGGGCTTAACCTGTGCATTGCTCAGGTCACCTCCCTGCCTGGCTCCCATCCTTTCAGTGCCTATCTTGAAGCTGAATGGTTGTGTGCAGACTGTGAGAGATGGCTTGCAGCCTTGGGAAACCTCTCTTGGCATATAAAATAAATGCTGAGCACTGAAGAGTATTTCACACAAAGAAGTTATTGACAGGAGTAGGATGCATCTGCTGTTTTACTGGAAGTCACCATTTGCTCAGCAGAAGTTCAATTTCTAATCCTGACTCCAGCTGTTCTCGTTTAATTTACAGCATAATTCTTCAAAGGGATCAGGATAACAACTTTCAAGGACAAGATATGGACC